CTTACAAAATTCCTAATCAGGTAGGTTGTTTTTGTTTTTGTTTTTTAAGAAACAGGAAAGGCAAGATAATTTATTTGGAAAAATTGTTTCTACTTTTGAGTATTTGGAAATCTGAGGTGGTTTCAGTTCAAATGTCTTCATGTTTTATGGCTCTCACCTTAAACATTTTCTGAATTTTCTGTTTCTATAATTGTCATCACAGAGATAGGGAAGATACTCTTCCTAATTGCTACTTTAAATTTAAACTAGATTTTCTAATTTAGATGTAATTTTTAAAACACAAGTAGAAGCCCATAATAACAGTTTCATTATGAGTATTCTGCCAGTGCTTTTTTCCTCATTCATTCATTTGTTCATATTAGATCTCTATCCTAAACTGTATCCGGAGCTCTCCCAATACATGGGCCTGAGTTTAAATGAAGAAGAAATACGTGCAAATATGGCAATGGTCCCTGGAGCACCAATTCAGGGGGTATGTATAGTGGAATTAATTTTGAATTATATAAAATCATACTTGACAGATAGATGTGATAACTCACAGATTTATAACTTCAGTATTGACCTCTCTTCTCAGAAATTGTAGACTTTCTTCTGAATATCACTTCATACATAGTCTACTTCCTTTTGTGCTGTTACCACTGTTTGAGTTTATTAGGACTTATCCTGCATAAGACCTAGTGATTCTGTCTCTGCCATGTTTTTTGTATGCATTTTATCTATTCCTGTTTCTATAACTGTATTCAGGGTTTTTGTACTTCTAACCTAGATTATTACAATACTTTCTTATGCTTCCTTTAGTAACTTGTTTCACACAGTACTGAGCTGCTGTTAGATTAATGATTCTGAAGTACAGGTCTATCATATCTTTTCTTTGTTTATTATCTTTTAACATTCTTTCCAAAATCCAAAGCTCCTTGTAATTAGACCCCAGATTCTAGGCTAAAATATAACTTATCTGATAACCTTTTATTAAGCTCACTGCTGTAAGACTTTATGACCCATAATTACAGTTGAATACTTCCTGAAGTGTCCATGTTGTTGAATACTTACATAGCATGGCTGCTATGATTCTTATTTTAGTAACTGGTCATGAGGCTGTAGGAAATATTTATGATTTCCTTTGTTCACTACATGTATTCTTTGTTCCCTTTGTACTTGGCCAGCACTTCAGCTGGTCTTTTTTCTTTAATATCTAGTGGGATGACCCAACCTATCATTTTTAAAGTATCTAAATCTCCAGGGCTCTTCCTGTTTCTTCCCTTTTCTTTCATTTTAATTTATTTTAATTTGTCGCTTGAGATTTCTGTTAGTTCTTCCCATCTAGTGAATTTTTCATTTCACATATGGTCACCACGCTGTACATGAGATTCCCAGAACTTACTCATCTTGTAACTGAAAATATGTCCACTTTGACCAACATTTCCTGATTTCTCCCCCTGCCCACCCTCAGTCACTCAAAGCCACCTTTCTACTCTGTTCTTCAGTTTGACTTTTTTAAGTTCCACATATAAGCGAGATCAGACATTATTTGTTTTTCTGTGCCTAGCTTATTTTACTTAGCCTATTGTCTAGGTTCACTTCTGTTGTCCATCTGGCAGGATTTTCTTCTTTTTTATGACTGCATATTATTCCACTGCACATATGTACCATATTTTCTTTATCAATTCATTTGTCAACAGACACTTGTTTCTGGATCTTGGTTAGTGTGAATAATGCTGCCGTGAATGTGAGAATGCAGACATCTCTTTGAGATAGTCATTTTATTTCCTTTGGGTATATACCCAGAAGTGGGATTTCTGGATCATATG